TGAGAGACGAACGCGACATGGGTCGTGTCAATCTCGCATCTGTGGAGTTCAGTAAGTGGCGAAAGAGACACAGCCATGTCATTTTCGGCTCTCAAAGCTCTGTAGTAAAAGACGAACTCGGCATAGGCCTTGTCGTTTTCGCATGTAAAGGGGCGTCTAAAAGACGCACGCGTAGGCTCCTATGGGCCATGGTACTTTGTAACCGAAAGAAGCAAGTCGTGTGTGTGTGTGTGTTTGTGTGTGTGAGAGAGAGAGAGAGAGAGCATGATTCAGAAAAAAATACCATGGGGGGGATGCCCTCATACTTCCTTCGCTTATGAATGAAGTGTTTGCAAAAAGTGGAGATTAAGGCCTTCATTTCACCCGGCCCCATGTTTTTGCATTGTAGCCAATGCCATAGGTAAGTAAAAAGTCTGGAGTATCCTCCCAGGATCGGTCATCGGTCATTATCCTGTCTCCTCGGCGCATCTCAAATAGAGGGCCTAAAACGATCTAAAACTATCTCTCTGCGACCACAGTGCAACAAAATTTATGCACAAACTGAAGGCCAAACGAAGAGTATATATGGGGCTTATGTGTGCACATAGCCAGAACAACGCATCTTGGCCTGCCTGCATGACTCGGTATTTGACACTTCTCGGCCAACACATTTAATTCGACTGGCGTATTCAATAAGTTTACTAAATACACCACGGACCGTCCACTGTATGCGACACATACAGCGTAATAATATATTACACTCTTTCTTCAGAATAATCTCAGATGATAACAATTCTGAGTCTTGACTCGGTGGGTGTGTCCTATTGCTATAGCTGTGTTTTTGTCATCATTGATTAATAAAAAAGGGCTTAATCATACTTGTAACAAAAGAAAACAGGTTAACCATGGACTACGCATCTTAACCTTGGGGTACACCCCAAGAGCGCAAACTTGGGGTTTAATTCATGTAGAAACCCAATACCTGTCCCACTCCTGACCAGTCCATGTGTTGTACCTCCCACTAATGATATTTATTGCTCACAAGCAACAGTGATAACAACCGTCCACTACTGGTGTGTTATACAAATGTAAACAGCTCCACGAGTCCGATGCTCTGTGAGTGGAGTGTAAATATGGTCTACGGCCAGTAGACGTGGTAATCAATATAAGAGATTTTATACCTAGTTAATGGTGGTTAACACTTATGTATTCTTTACATGATCGTGTGTACGGGTCTTTAACTAAATCATGACGGTGTGGTGTTGTCCTTCACACAACGAGTTATCTGAGGTCGTGCTTAAACTGTCGACATAATCAACTACATACCTCCATAAACTTGTGACAATTCCTCGTACCAATTCGAACAAACACGGCACCAATACAATCATTGTTAATATGGCGTACAGTCCAGCGTGGTCAACTTTATGTAAAGTGACCACCTTTAAGTTCCACGGCGTCTCCTGCGTGTCCGTTTCACTCGTGTTTCCACATAACAGGTCATACAGGTTAATAAAGAGACTGACGGTCCGATTGATCCCTCAGGAATCGATCGATTTCACAGGTTCGATCCATACTCCTATATCATTCATACAGTAGCCGGAGTCAATTTAACCGCTTATCAGTCAGTTCGGTAGCCGCACCTGTGGTGAACAATTCTTCTGTCCGAACGGTCTATACACATTCAAACGTTAACATGTATGCGATGCCATTAATAACTGAGAGAGGTCGGTAACGGGCGTAGTGTCCGAGTGTTTACTTTGTGGCCGCATCTGCTATATCTGGGTCACGCCAGGTAAACGTAGTCAAGGGAGGCCTCGCAGTGACCACTCTGGCGTCAACACGGAATGTAAATCGTGAGTTCCAGCGGGGTTGTTACCTGAACTAGCACTTAAAGGGTTAAGAAACGTAAATTTTTTACTTGAAAAGAACTTCGCTGAAACAAGGCCAAAAGATATGGTTTATGACAATGACCATGGATACATTCTCTCTTCCATCCTCAAAGTCATACAGAATATAAATAAATAATGAACTGTGTAATTAGCTTACAGGATGTCATGCCAAACTCGCATCAAATTATTTCCACGAGTGGATAATATACCAGTAGTTCTGAACATGTAATATGGTACGATTTCTGGATTATGTTTACTGTTAATTTTGAATTTATAGTTTCTCATTTTTGAGTCACTCTCATAATGTAGATTGAGACTGGTGAACTATTGTAATATTCTCAACAGTTTTAGATAGGATATACCTTAGCTATAGGGTAAAATGTTGAATTTTTTTTTGATATATAAATCTAACGCGCTTGGTATGTCTTTATTAAATGATTTCAGTATTTGATTCAAGCAATGATGTACACCATTTCTCCCAGTAACAAAAGCACAATTTTCATAAACCTTATTCTCTCTCATCTAACACAATCTCATTGCGACCATCACCCTTGAGAACTTGTTCATTAAATGTAGAGATAGGTCATTGTCTTTTGTCGCTCATCTCCGCTATCGCACCTAATGTTATTTTTCAATACGATAGCAATGGTTTGATACATATGCTTTTTATACTTATACATTCAAGGGACAATAAGTTAGAAAAATAATAATATTTAACAAACGTAATATTTTCCTTAAAGAATTAAATGTTAATAAAATCTCTTTTCCCATTTGCCACTTATAATACGAAACACCAATAATATAATATAATAATAATATATTTATTTCAAGTCTAAAATCCATAAAATGTTCAATAGACTGTACAACATAAAATACAAAGAAGTTTATAGATAAAAATGGTCAAGATATATTTTATATAAATAAGAGCTAAACTAACTTAATTAATTGTAATAAACAGTAATTAAAAGTAAAAAATCCAAGGTTTCTTTAAAATTATAAAATTTAAGATTCATGAATAAAATGTCTTAAAAATATGAGTTTTTAATTCCTTTTTAAAAGATTCTTGTGATTCTATTTGTCTAATAAAAATTGGCAACTTATTCCACTCTACTGGTGCAGCTACACAAAATGATATGTCACCATATGATTTTAACCTTGATTTTGGAACTTTCAGTAAAAGTTTGTCACCAGACCTCAGGGATCTTTGAGGGCTATAATGTTTGACTAAATCAGTTATATATGGTGGAGCTAGATTATAAAAAGCAGCATGTGTAAAAACTAAAACCTTAAATAAAATTCTGGCCCTAACTGGTAACCAGTGCAGATGCTTTAAAATTGGAGTGATATGGCAATCCCTAGGCTGTAGCATTAAAAGCCGTGCTGATATATTCTGGATGCGTTGTAATCTTTTGATCTTATCATCTGGACATCCATATAATATAGAATTGCAATAGTCTAGCCTGGAAGTTACCAATGAGTGTATAACAGTAGCAGCAGCAGATTGATTCAGATGTTTCCTTATGGTACCAATATTCCGAATGTTGAATAAACAAGACCTTGTGATGTTGGAGATCTGTTTGTCCATTGAAAGTGTAGAATCAAAGTATACTCCTAAATTTTTTACATGGGGGGAGGAAAATGCCATACTAGCTCCAATTTTAAGTTGCAAGTTATGAGCAAGGCCCTTGTTGTGGGGTTGAGTAATGACTAAAAATTCTGTTTTTCCATCATTTATCTTCAATTTGTTTGAAATGAGCCAACCTCTGAGGTCTGATATGCAATCAACAATTGTGTTCACAGACAATGCTGGANTTAGCAAGGCACAAATGCACAAATAGCATTAAATCACTAAATTCAAATAAAAAAAAAAAGGATTGTAAACTTGCGACGGCAGAAACACAAGAGAATTGAACAATAAAAAAATGCATTTGGTCAAATGAAAACCATCAAAACCCATATCAATAGTAACAAGAAAAAGGATCAAACAATGCTACATAGATCCAATAGCAATAAAGGGATACATAACATGCTCGTCAGGAAGAAAGTAAAGAAGAAACTTTCAGTAGAGATGTGGTTCTTGAGGAGGAAAATGCGTGTACATGGACAGTCAAGAGAAGAAATGAAACTGTCCGATCGCAAAGGAAGCAAATTACCTGCCCACCGCACCTTCTTAGATGAAATCAGAAAAAGAAAAAGTCGCTTTTTGAAGACACGAAATGTGAAAAGGTGGTATAAAATAACTGGTAACATCAGGAAATTTGGGAAGGAAGACAAAAATAGCAGACAACTGTTCTCAGTGGATGGAACCAAGGAGTTATAACAGACTCCTTGATGGAACTATTCAGATGACAGACATGCTGAGAGGTTTAGGTGTGAGTTACCAAGACAGGCTTGATGTAAGATGAGAGAGGTGCGGAGGGGATAAGATGAAGCACGGCACATGTTGATGAAATCGAAGGCGCAAAACGTTCGAAAACAAACATTTTCTCGAATTTTCTCCACTTCATTACGTGATGATTACATATGCTCTATAAGAAAAGAGGTTCGATTCTGCTATTGAAGCCTACAGATCACCAAAGATAATTTCAGTTTGTTACATTTACCATGCTGTGTTGTTTGTCTGCAGCTAAAAATTGTAAAGCCCACATACGGTAAAAACCTATGAAAGAAAATAAAAGACAGTGAGAGAATGAGATGTGTCATTTAGTTATTTTTATCTCGGAGTTCACGTGCCATTTACTTCTCCCCCAAGACTAGTGACATACAAACATGGAGGACCTGATTAACATTATCATATGATTACGTTGTCATTTCATGAGCAGGCACATGCATGCAACTTCTTTATCTGGTAAGCTGTTGCCCCCACAGTACTAGTCCCACGTACAGAGGTGGACGGGATGAAAATCTAATTTTACTTTGCTAAGGCGCTCAAAGGAAAAAAAGCAAAACATGGATAATAAAAATTAGGCCCACTATCACGGGGCTCGTTACAATAAGTGTCATTCTTTTCAAACAGGTAACCTGCTTCTGTCGCGTTACCTTAATTGCCATTTCTTTGTCAGTGTTTACTATGCTTCTTCTTTAACTCACCTGAGATCAGGTGACGTCACCCCCACCCACCTGCCATATTCAAAGCCGCAGCGCATTCCCGGCTTAATACGCATGCGTCACAGTTAACACTTTCAAACTGTCATGCCTGTGATAGCTATTAATAGGCGGGATTAAGTGGAACAGTCGCGGATCTAATACATATCGGTCAGATACTTCCAATATTCAAAGGTAAGATATGATGATTATGAAGTGAAAGTTTTTAAAAATGTGCTCGTAAAGACGACAAGACGAAGTTCTGCGTCACCAGGTGTGCCTCTGCCGTTTTACCTGTAGCTTACAGGTGAATGGTAATGGCCGAGCTCAGTTGTTGATAAGGCGGGCACAGGATGTAGGATATTCATAGCAAAGGTCGCATAGAAGAGTTAGTTTATTTCTAATTGTTTCTTTAAAACTTGTTCAGGGATTGATTCTAAGGTCACTTAATACCCTACCCTAACCTGAACCAGGTATGTCAGAACGACATTAAATGTAGATCACGTGATCCTTAAATAGTTGCTTGGCTGAGTAATATCAAATATGGTTGACCATTTGACCTGATTTGCCACTCCAGGTGTGTTAACGCCACGAGACACAAGCAAAGATGAGCACCAGCGGGACCAGCACGCCCAGGAGGGCCCCTAGTATGGACAGGTCAATCCATAGCGTCGGAGGAACGCGTTCACTTCACAGTGTGGCCAGTACAACCCACCCGGTGCCGTATGTTAGTGACAATTTCTTGGATAAACTTAACGCGGCGGCGTTTGGAGCTGGAAAGACGTTTTGCATGTACGCAATAGTCGCAGCTATTTTCTGTACCCTCTTTTTCATCACCGGAGTCACCCTCCTAGGAATGTTTCTCACTGGATACCTCTTTAACTTCACACTGGAGTGGGTCATCGCAGTCTTCTTCGTGCTCTTCGCCGTCTCATTAGCATTAGTCATCTATTTTTACTCCAAAGCCAGAGTTAAAAGTTCATCGGGAAGAAGAAACGTCAAGGTAAATATAATACACTTGATTTTCATCACCACTTTGACGTATTTTGAAGTGGTCAACTTTTATTGCACGTCACACCCATATCGCACAGGTCATAAGTACCTCGTACAAATAGTGTGTATATACATATTCTCCATTTTATCAGCGCAGGTGTCAAGATAGTTGCTAGTGTGTATTAACTAATTATTTAATCTCGCGACCCATATAGTACGACTTTCTGGTCCTTTGAGCATGACCTGACATTAATGTGACTTGAAATAACCTGACGACAACAATATGTATGTGTCCCCACTGTACGTGAGCCCCTTCCTGAATGTTATTGGCTTAGTGTCTGTGCTTTTAGCATGCAACTAGAATCCCGTTTGAATAAAATAAATACTGTACAAAGTATGTCCAAATTTGAACATGCACACACACACACACACAGAGAGAGAGAGAGAGAGATTGACAGATTTGTAGGTGATATATAGGTGCTGAGTTACAGGCTTTGGATAACATTATACTTTGGGTTATGTTGCATATTTTTTTTAACCCTTTAAATCATATTAAATGTGGTACTCCATTGTGTTTCACAAAAAAGCAATATTTTGAGTTAATATGGCTCTGTTGGAACTGTGGAAACTGCCAATACTTAAGAATTTCAATGAAGGCAGTAGCACAGAAACACATAATTAAGGATAAAGATTAGGGTTGACCTAGCTGTTTATCCTGGCAATTTATGAAGGACATAGACTGCTGAATTTCCTCTGTGTATATTTCTTATCGATTAATCTAATTAATGCAAAACATTCTGTGTATTTAATGACATAGATATATAAGACGTGTCGGCCATCACGAAAGTCTACATAGACCTGGTTATAAACGTTGACCACAGTAGCAACGCATTCAGCCCCATTGTCCCCCTGTTATTTGTATAGTATGATATGGCAAGGACCATTCATTATAAAGCCAGACGGAAAAGTCACCAGATTAAATTGATGGGCTAGTGGTCAACGCCCGCGGTTTTATAACAGATAAGGTGTGTGTTTCATCCCTGTGTATTCAATGGGCGCAGTGATAACATTCCGAGTCTTAGTCTCTTCACACTGACAAAAAGATAGGCGGTGAACGAATGGCAGTTGTCCTACATGCATTCATAATAACATCACAAACGTGTTGTATAATTTTTTTTTACCGATCATTTACCATAAAACCCAGTGAAAAAAACTTGGAAAAAAGGGTAGAGATATAGACATATACCTTACTGATTATTGCCTTGAAAACTTACGACGTAAAACTGATTGTTTTATGAGAACCACATAAGAGGTTGAAAACAAATAGAGCACGGTACTCTGAATATCAGAATACCGACAGTGACTTTGCTCTGTACATTATGAACTTGTGATTACCGACAGCTGTGCGACAGCTCTAGAGATAGAAGAGAGTGCATTTTTACTCTGAAACTCAGGGTAGGCATGTAGATTTTAGCAAGATTTAAGTGGGCCGAGGGAGTGTATTGGGTCTGTGATTCATTTGGTGTGTTGAACATCAGGTGGGGGCTATTAGGGCGAGGGGCAGGAGGAATGCTGCCCACACCACCCAAAACTGAATCATTTCACCGAGATTCAGGTATTGGACATCTGCTATCATTGGGAAGATTGAAAATTAATTAATGATATCTAATATTCGTCCTACCTACTTTCAATTTCTTTTACTTGGGCCTACCTACGATTGTCGAAAATCCCTCTGCTCCTTCTCATTAACAAAACCAAAATGATGGCGTAATTAATATGGCATGGTAGAAGTTAACAATAATTCAGCAGGCAAATCCATATCAATATAACTTACAGGTACCTTTAAAATGAGACATATCTATATGTTTCCACCCTGTTTTTGCTTTACAAAAAATGAAAATGAACTGCGTAAGAGCTGTCACAACTGCCCTCTTTACAGTGTTTAAATGTAAACGAATGATTATACAGTCAGTACTACAGCGTGAGAACTGAATTTGAAATTGTAATTAATGTGACGGGTAAGCTTATTTGAATTAGGAAAAAATCGTTGTTGACCCACGCTCGTAAATCAGTTGATAATATGCCTAAAAAGATCGTTATGACGGTTGAATATAAAATTTTGAGATTTGAGATTCTCTGTATGGATTCGACCTTGGACATGATAACGTAATTTTGTCCATGATTCGACCAATATATTTTAATATCACAAAACTTGTACTATTTCATAATATGGAAAGGCCTTGGCTGTCGGGTGGTTTGATTATAATTTGATTTCATTTCAACTTTTCTTATCGAAATGAAAAGTTGAATATCACCTGAAGCCGGCTGTGCAGTGATACTACTATAAAATGATCCTACTTCCGTACTATTTAAAATCCCCACTCCTTACACAATTTGTAATTGTATATGAGGTAACAGTGACTGTTTGCCATCATTGACATTTTCTGCTTTTTTTTAACCGTGTAAAATTCATTTCACGACAACAGTCGTTTAAATGAGAAACATGAATCTACATATGGCATAAATGGAGATAAAGAGTAAAAGAAGTTTGTAAAAGAATTGACTTATATTCAGCTCTGGCCACGATGTTCAGGTGAGCCTAAGTTTTGGTTTTGTTTTATGGCCCTTATCGGAAGACGTGAAACCATACATCCGTGATGAAATCAACGACAATATGCTGGAATGACTTGCAATTGAGAGTCAACTTTTAGGCCTGCCTGTGTCTTTGTGAGACCACCCTTAGCATACAAGACACTTGGAGATATCCTGGACTTTCTTTAAGCACAGGCCCAGTCGCACATACGAACTTTTGAACCAGAATGTGTAACTAACTGAAGACCGAAACATATAGTCTGTGTTCTCCAAATTTTAATTGATACCTAGCCTTTTAAAGTCAGTAAAGTGAGAAATGATAATTGTTTTAGGTGATGGGTGCTTTATTTCAGTGAACTATTACTAATTCGTCACAGTTCGCAATAAACGAAAGTCGTCTGTTTGAGAGTGATGACCAGCTTTCGACATTAGTTATTTTATGACACAGACCACAGCAAAAGTCACCTTCAAGTGAAACGGACAAATCTCCATGTTGTGCAATAACTCTAACATCGATATCTTAGATAAGAACAAAAGGTCAGAGATATTGGATCAGCCTATTTGAAAAGTTCTATAAATAAGGCGTCTTCTAGGCTTATCAGCTTTCAACTTGTATGAGTTTTATTGGTCAGAATGGCGTCTGACTTTATATGGATTTGAAAAAAAAAACATTTGTTTCTTGAATGCAGAGTGTCATTGTTTTAGTGTTTCAAAGTCATGCTGTGACACACGCGTACTGAAACTTATCTAAGGAAAGGGTTTAGGCCCAAGTGTCCAGAATAATTATATATGAAAGAATAATCAAGTTCTTTCACCAAAAAAGTGAAAAGTAATCTTCACTGAATATTTAAATCATTCCTCAAGAATATAATCAAGGTTTAATAAACGACGTTGCCCCGGAGCTGCCTGCAGATAACACGATCGCGCCGATCCATTGTGTGTTGCATCAAATAAAATCCAAGAGTTATTTACGAATTCACAAAAGCAAGCATTCCATATATAGAAACAGGGTTCACTTAACTGTAAAAAGAAATAGGCCGAACACATGAAGTCTTTGTCAAAAGAGGTGGGGCATAATGTTTAATATATACTTTGGGGTATGCATGTACATCGTAAACATTTGAGTTGTTTTGTGGTTTCTTTATAAACTATTTTGGTGTGCAATGCCTAAAATCACAAATGCTTTCGACAAAGAGCATTTTACATGTGCAAAACATGTTTTGAATAATAAGGCATTCGTTCAGTTACTGTGTTTGTTTAATTTCAGTTCCGTGCCGCGGGAGATCACCAAGTTTCCGTTGTCAACGTTGGGTATGAAAACGACACTCAAAAGGACGAGTAAGTACAACTGATCTTTTACAAAAAATAATGTTCAGCTTAATGCTGTTTCTAGCTAAAACATTAGTTTCCTAAAGATCAACTTCGATCATTTTTAACTTCAGAGAGAATTTTTGAATTTACAACCTTCTCAATGTTTTGATCTGATCAAAAGTATCATTGTTTTGTATTACTGTTAACTGTGATCAGTAACCAACACCTTGAGTCGAGAAGGAAACTAATAAGGGCCCCTTTACACTGGACGGCGTCCTTTCTGCGTCCAGCAGCACGGCCCCATTTGAGAGTTAAAAAATTATAATATTTTACGTGTCGACAACTGGCCGATCATTGAGCGTTCTTCTGATACAAAATCAGTGCTCGTGCTTCCTTATTAAGACCACAGCGATGCCAAATTTCATGGTCGCAGAGAGGACGCAGAAAGGACGCCGTCCAGTGTAAAGGGGGTATAACTCGCCTGTTATCAGTATACTCTTTTACTGCAACTTGAAGAGACACGCAGATACCCGAAACTCAAGGTGAAACCAAATGCACAACAATTAAATTTATTTCGTGTTTCAGTGATTTGGTGTCAGGGAAAGTGACAAATAAAGCCGTTCTACACGTGGACGCCCCATACGAGCAGAAGAGAGCTCAAAAGTATCGCAAGGCCGGCCAGCCAGGCTCTAGGACCAGGAGCGAGTCCAGCCAAATCAGCGGCGATTCCCTTGACCGACCGCCATCCTACCGCGAGCAAGCTATGGTGAATGCTGTATAGAAGAACAATAAATGTACAAACTGTGTCCACGGCAAACGATCAGCCCCTTACGGGGCTCTGTGTATGTGTATATACATATGAAAAGCAAGCAACAACTGAAAAACATTCCTATCAACGTATATATATATATATATATAACAAAGGAAGAAGACGATGGAAATTATTTTTGTAGTGGTTGAAATATGGCAGGTACGCCAGGATGTACTTATTTGTATATTTTGCAACATAACTTAGAATAATGGGAAAATAATAAGCAACCTCTGCGTGACATCATTTGAATGATTCGTTGTTGGAGCCTCATTTCATTATAGCAATATAACAAGATAATTCTCAGCGTCCGGCGCCTCTCTCTTGGTTCTTCGTCATTAGTGCCATAACACTGCATTCAAGGTGGGCGTCACACGGCAGTATGTGTCACAGTCGGGGAAAGGTTTGCTATGGTTGGTGAAATATGGAATAAGATAAAGAATAATCCTATTTAGAGAGGAAAGAAACCCCACCCCTCCCCCACCCAAGAAAAAAAAACGTTAAATCTCCCTCTGAGGATTAAGGGACATCAAAACAAAAAGGAACGGGGACCGTCGATGGCTATGTGATAGCGTTTTTCTGCTAAAAGTTCGGGTGCTTTTCAAAAACAAATAATCAACTAACCAATGGACGAAATGATGTACGATGGATTATTAAAATACATGTAATTATAAGACAGGTATCTGGTAGGATTATTATCACCGCACCCGTACCCTAAGTAGACGGATCTTTTTATATCATAGTTTTAGAATTTGAATTTTGATTGGGGTATATGATGATGAAGTGAAAATGACTTAATTTTTCTAATTGTAAATGTGTGGTTTGAATGTTAAGGTGAAAACATTGTCAGGGAATATGGTTGTGATTTTCCACCCTTATATAGGCATATATTGTAGATGGACGCTTCAGGTATTGGTTTAAACGATTGTAGTTTTTAGTGTACGCAAATTCACAGCGCGTGCCTTTTCACTTGAGTGAATCTACCACACCTTTATGCATTACACCTATACGTAAACTTTATCTGAAATTAAGAGATTATATACGAGTTATTATTAAGCTTGTATGAAAAAAAAGTACCAGACTGTCGGACATTTTTCTCCTTTTTTTATTTAAAAATAGATTTTAGCACTAAAGAGGGTGTTTCGAACTTGTTCGCATTTTTTACGAGACACGCAGTTAGAAAATCAGACGTGACACACAAAAACATGAGCAAACATATGATATAGAAAGAATGCATGACTATGTATAATATGATGACCAGCTAAGAGCGAGTCGAACTTTATCAGTGGGTGAGTAATTAAATCAACAACTGGCTATCTTTGCGTTGACTCATGCTGTCAGACCTACAGCAAGCAGGTCGTATATAAACATGGGACATGCACGATCTTTCATTATATGTCCTTTTTATGGTAACTGAACGACCAAGTGCATTTTTAATGAATTTTTGAAATTATGCCCGCTGTGCGCCAATGTGCAAAAAAATACCTTAATTTGTAAATATCATGTTATGTTTTATCTAGTTTACTCTTATGCAAAGTTTTAAAAGTTGTACTGATAGTTTTATCGTTTACATTTTGGTCAATATATCGTAGACATTTTACAGCCTTTGGGACCATATCGTAGACTATATCTTTGCGCGAAGACTTAGCAAAAGGGGAATTTAAAAATCCCGCTGCATTGCATTTGTTTAATACAGGCAGACGATAAAATGTTTTTCCTCTGCTCTCGTGTTGTTAAAAGGGAATTGTTTATACTAATCGTTTCATATTTCTGTGTTACTTATTTCACAATATATATAAACTTATATATATATATACATGAAAATCTTTTATATGATATAAGAGCTATGTAGAGATGAGGCAATAAATATGAAAATTTGGCTATTTTTGTTCAACATTGTTAACACAGCAAAGAAGCTCTCACAGATCGCGCCCACATCCCCTTTTATATGTTGAATAATTATCTATCATAATTATCAGTTATCTATCTACTAGTATTATCTTAATGATTTAGTATCAATTATCGTATTATTCCACTATTTTATTATTCCACTTTTAATTCAAATCATAAAGGTATTTTTCCCTCTTTGAAATAGGATTTCATAATGCCTAGAAACTGATCATTTAAACAAAAAATTTAAAAATGTTTATCTAAAAAACATAATGATAGGTCTACTGTTCCCTATTGCCAATTTGCGACGTTACTTGAACAGCATTTTCCAGCTGATAGTCGTATATAGGAGAATTAAAAAAAATCCATCGAAACCATAGGAATTTCAATAAAAATTACAATCTCATTCCAACATAAGACTTCATGAAAGACTTAAATTTAATCTTTAAAGCTATTTCATGGTTTAATACTGTCCATGTTTTTGAATAAGTGGTAGGACCTAACTGAATGTCACCCATCGTTTGGAAAACATAATTTGATTTCTGTAAAGAAATATAACAGCTGGTTTCTGTCTTTATTCCTTTTCTTTCGTTAATTTTTGCTGTCTTGTATTTGAGAGCCTGTTTTGAGCTTACCTGGCTGGGACGATTTAAGAGATAGTAGGCTACACTGCAAGGGACAAGGCAGCTGTCTCAACTAACGCAATATTTTCGTGTTGGCGAACATGGATCAAACACTGGCGGAATAGCATCACCATTGGGCTTGTAACTGCAGAACGATGGCTTTGATGTATGATATCTAGTACATTTTTCTCGAAAAGTTCTACTTCCTGTAGGAAGGTAGACTTACCAACGAGAACACATCTAGGTCAGTGCTGACGAATGACCGGTAAAATTTCCAAGCTTTGGGTGCCGAAATTTCTACAATTTCCAGATTTGCTCAGTGGAGATCTGTATATACAGTGTATTAATTTCCAGTTGGTACGTTGATATTGTAGTCTGCAAAATAACAATAGTATCACTAGGGGCTACATCTCGATAAGCATACTGACCATAGTGTCATTGTGAGTGTTGTCACCAGGTAGTGATCAGTTTAAATATACGTACCAGTACATGTAAGCTGTGCTATAATGTAGTTAAAATTACAGGGCAAGTTATTCAGATAACAGTGAAGTCATACAAAATGAATTATAGATTTGGTGTTTTTCCAATGGTAGTGCCTCCATTGACCAGGGTCATGTCGATACTCCCCCGCACCGTTACTCCCCTGCACTGATACTCCCACGCACCGATGCTCCGCCGCATCGATAATCCCCCTTTAAGTTAGTAAATTTTTGTGTATTATGCGCATCGATACGACCCCACATTGATAGATCCCTGCATCGATACATCCCCAATAAAATTGCCGATGTAGGTGCACCATTACTCCCCCACATCATTGCTTCCCCGCATTGATACTGTGGAGGAGTATCAGTGCAGGGGAGTATTGGTGCGTGGATGTACTGGTGAGGAAGAGTATCAGTGCGGGGACGTATAGGGATGTAACCAACTGCCTTTTCTTTCCTGTCATCTAGACTACATGAAGCTGGACATAGTGTGGGTTAAACTGCACATTTGAAAGATCATTGAAATACAAGAAACTCATAAGATGTCCAAGTACGACACGGAGCAGTTCGACCCAGCCCCAGTTCCAGAATTGGTGTGTTGTATATGCCATTGTGTTTTCCTTGACCCTGTGCAAACCCCATGTGCTCATGTCTTCTGCAGGGTAAACAGCTTTCTTTACATTTGATTTTTGTAATTTGATGGTAATCCATCTGCATGATACTGCAAGTTATTATGTGTGATATACAGTTTTTTTCTGTACTGTAGCCTACTGCAGTTTTTGTGGGGCTCATTGTAGAGCTTTGTTTAACATAAGATAATTGTATCTTTTACAAAGCACACTTTCTGAAAAATTGACAGTTTTGCTTTGAATGGAGCACTTCTATGATAATGATAGTAAGTAGATTTTGCTTCTTATTCCAGATCTGTATAGAAACTTGGCTTGATAGCCACCAGAGCTGCCCTACATGTAGGAGACAGGGGATAAAGAAGGTAGACCTCACAGAGACTGTACCAATTATCCGGAGTATGATACAAAGGTAAAGAAAAGTTAAAGGTATTGTTTACATGTCAGTGTAACCTTTATCCACAAAGTGTTTGTTAATAACGTGCAAAGTGTAGTTATCTTAAAGGTAATTTTAAACTGGTGGAAATTGCATATTTGTATCTTTAAAAAGATATTTATTGTCTGTTGAAGTTTGATCATGATTTGTGGCATTAGCAGTTGTCATTTATCTCCATTGAAACTATGATTTACATATGAACAGGTGGTTTTTACTGTTTATTTAAGCAATAAAAATCTGTTTCAGTTTAACCATGAGATGTGACAATGCAGAGAATGGTTGTACAGAACTGATGAAGCTAGAGCAGTATGAGACACACATCAAAGACTGCCCTTTTGCATTACTCCAGTGCAAGTTTAAGAAATGTGGGGAAAAAATTCTTCGCATGAATCTGTCTGATCACGAGAATCAGTCTTGCCCGCACAGGGAAAAACAATGTGAGGCTGACTGTGGGTTAATGATTCCGCTGAGAGAGATTGCCAGTCATAGCTGTCTGGAGGCTTTGAAGAGAGCCTTGTCAGGTACTTAATTGTTTAGAGTCTGAGCTCACTCTAGCATACCGTAGTAAGTTTTAGCCAAATGCTGAACAAATTCTCATTTGATTAAGGAAAATGTGAGTTTTTCTTTTTTGCCAAATTATCATTCATGTAATGCAAAGTAATTGATTTGGATGAAACTGTCTAGATAGTTGGCTAAAGGAGATTTTGTACAAGAAAGAACCCAATATGGAAATGGTTTATATTAAGTGTTCCTGATCATTCCCCTGTATCCTTTTGAATCTCTTAAGCTGAGATGTGGGAGAAGGGCTGTTATCAGTGTTGTTTTTATTTTATGTAGAGGATGTGTGTATGATGGGGAACAACGAGTTTTTTGAAAATATAAACAACTCCACTCAATAATTAAGTTCTAAACATCACACATGAATCATTTTCCATTCAAGCGCTTTCATGAAATGTACATACCGGTATATATGTATACAGCATTGTGTTAAAAACATTTTTGAACTTCAGAAAATGACAGGAAAAGCTTACAGTGTTTTTGGATGAACTTTGTAGTTAGTAGAATATATGTGTGAAAAGAATGGAATAGATGTTACTGAACATAAATGGTGATAATTGTTTCAGAGCGCAAAGAAGAACTTGAGAAAATGAAACAGTACACCCAAGAACTTTTGGAACAGAAGAATTCTTTAGGGCAACAGAGGGTCCAGCTTGAAAGACAACTGAATGAGGCCAGAGATCGCCTAGAGATGGTCAGAGCTGTTGATTCTACTAGTAGTGAATGGTAAGTACTAGTAGAATGATGTTTATTCACTTACAAAACTTTCTGAGCTTACATTTGGGATTCTGTAAATTTGAGGCTGATTAGCTAATTTTATTGACTTTTTTTTCATATTTTAGGTCAATAGAGGAAAGTGTTGATGATTCAGATTTTGAGGAAGTGAATATATTTCAAATGGATGATGAAAATGATATTCAGGTAATGGCCTAGTCCAAATCTCTCTTTCTCTCTCATATGTATTTCGTATCTCATGTTTTTATATTTGATATATATTAGCAATTGCTAAGGTGAATTATTTGGCAATTCGGGGTGTTCCACTAAGAGAGAACATTTTGGTCATGTCACTGACATGACATTTTGTGTAATATTTGCATCAATGTTAACCATCACTCAGGGCTCGACATTAGCGCCTGTCCGCCTGTCCGGGACAGGTAAAAAATCAGTTCGGACAGGTGAAGTTGCAGGGTTGGCTGTCCGACGGACAGGTCATGTTTTGTGAGAAATTTGGAGCAAAAGTCTTTAAAAAAATATTTTGTTGCATACTAACGTCTTTTATTCCCTTCCTAGACGGCATTGAAAAGAGTGACCTACTTTTGGCACAAAACACATGCAGTCGCAAAACGAAGTCTGAGTAAACTTACCGCCAAATTATGAAAGAGAACACCCTCCAGAACTTCATCAGACAAAATTTATTCACATATCTTGTTCTTTACTTTATATTTATTTAGTTCAAAATCTACGTGCTCTAGTAATAAAGACCATTCCCAAAACAGAAACTATACAAGTACTTTGCTGCCTGGGTACAAAGCCAGATTGAACTGGATGAACTGGCTATATCTAGTTCGTTGTCAAGGCAACATACTGCCTGTCAATCAAATACGTTGTATGCTATCTACTCACTATAGAAAGTGAAATCTTTTGGACTGAAGATCTTGTTGAAATGTTGTTTATTTGCCAAAATATAACCTGAAATTTTGTATGATGTTGTCTTTAATGATTCTAGTATCACCCTGGAATATGATAAATTAACATTGCTGTCATATACCAGTATGATATTGATGTAAGGAAGAAATAAGTAATAACAAATATGAGAATTTAAATAAAAAGAAGGGGAACATTTTATACTGATTTTATTTAATTCATATATTAAAAAAAAATCAAACACATGATAACCCAAAAAAGAAGTTAAATTGTTAACATAGATGTAAGTATTATAAAATGAATATTATTTAACTTTTCATTGAACTATATTCAAATATTATTAATTTTGAATATTTTAATAAAATTAATTTAACAGTACCCCCTCCCCACTTCCCGCTCAGGGTATTTCTTTTTTTTAGCTGTGGTTAAACTTCATGTAATCTGTTATCAAATTGCAGATTTACAGTTAGTAGACNTTTTTTTAGCTGTGGTTAAACTTCATGTAATCTGTTATCAAATTGCAGATTTACAGTTAGTAGACCCTGTACCCCAAATCCTAGGAGAAGCCCTGATTGGAACTATGTTAAATCAGACTTAGACCCCATTTCCAGAGATTAGAT